GTCAAATCTATCAGAAATGAATGATTCGAGCACATGACAAAAAGGTGCGCCCAAGAATATTCCGCGAGGGAGATCTGGTGCTAAAAAGAATTTGGCCAGTCCAGAAAGATTTCTGAGGAAAATGGATGCCAAATTGGGAAGGACCTTATGTCGTGAAAAAGGCTTTCTCCGGAGGAGCCCTCGTCCTGGCTGAAATGGACGGACCTGAACTGCCACATCCCATCAACTCGGACGCAGTCAAGAAATACTTCGCTTAGGATGAAAACCCGAGAGGGCATCCTAAGTTGAAAAAAAAAACGTTTAGGGTGAAAACCCGAAAGGGCACCCTAAATTGAAAAAAATAAAAAGAGGAAAAAAGAGAACAAAAGACGAAAATAAGGTGGGTTCAAGAAGAAAACCCGCAAAGGGCGTCTTGCAACCAAGGATGAGTCCAAGTTGAAAACCCGGAAAGGGCAATTTGGATATTAACAGTGGAAACATCTCGGCACATGAGTCTTCTACGAACTCAACAAATCAGAGAAATGTCGCACTCTCCCAAACGTTGTCGCATTTTCAAAAATCCTTTGGCAGAGGCTGCATTCAAGGTCACCAAACGACTTTTCAGCTCAGAAGTGCCCACATTATCGAGATCTCATACATTCATTTACACATCATCATGTATTCGTTTCCTAGAATGTTTGCCATGTATTATTTGTTTTTTTCCTCCCTTATGAATAAAGACAATCTTTCCTCTTGAGCATCTTGAATTAGATTTAAACCTAATGATTTATTTATTTTTGTGAAAAGATAATCGCATATTACTGTACAAGGATTCATTGAAAAGTACAGCTACCCAGAAGCCGATCAAGGCTCATGCACATACTTGAGATGGTTGAGGAGCATCTCCCAAATCAAGAAAAAACAGAATATGCACATCAGATGTAAACATTTGAAGAATTCAAGATCAGAGATCGGAACTTCAAGCTTTCAAAATCAAGAGTCAACAACGACAGGCCACCGGAGATCGATATTTCTCTCCAGAGCCCAGAATAACATATGTTGCACATACATTTTAGGCATTCCTAAGAGCATGACATCCATAACATCGCATATATGCATATCTTTGCAGGTTTTACCCATAGCCAATTTCAACTTCACAACGAAGGATATTGGACTCCAGACAACGTAAGTTCAACTTCACGACGAAGGGACCGCTGGTTGTCAACAACCATTTCTCAATTTCAGAGCCAATTTCAACTTCATAACGAAGGATATTGGACTCCAGACAGCGCAAGTTTAACTTCACGACGAAGGGACCGCTGGTTGTCAACAACCATTTCTCGATTCCAGAGCCAATTTCAACTTCACAACGAAGGATATTGGACTCCAGACAACGCAAGTTCAACTTCACGACGAAGGGACCGCTGGTTGTCAACAAACATTTCTCAATTTCAGAGCCAGTTTTAACTTCACAACGAAGGATATTGGACTCCAGACAACGCAAGTTCAACTTCACGATGAAGGGACCGCTGGTTGTCAACAAACATTTCTCAATTTCAGAGCCAGTTTCAACTTCACAACGAAGGATATTGGACTCTAGACAACTCAAGTTCAACTTCACGACGAAGGGACCACTGGTTGTCAACAAACATTTCTTAATTTCAGAGCCAATTTCAACTTCAAAACGAAGGATATTGGGCTCCAGACAACGCAAGTTCAACTTCACGACGAAGGGACCGTTGGTTGTCAACAAACATTTCTCAATTTCAGAGCCAATTTCAACTTCGCAAACGAAGGATATTGGCCTCGAAACAACGCAACCTACATTGGATTTCCACTTCACAACGAAGGATATCCAATTTCCAGGCTCAACTTCACGACGAAGGGGCCACATACAAATCCAACTTCATTAACAGATTGACCCGACTTCACGAAGAAGGAGTCCTATGTAACACAGCCATACCCAAAGTCTCCAGGACAAGTTTTTCACCTTTACAACGAAGTATCCTGAGCCGAAAGATAATCCAGGAGCTGCTGATCAAGGCTTCGAGTTCGATTTCAACTTCACGAAGAAGGATTTCGTGCTCAGAATTTTTCAGTTTCGACTCGACCTCACGACGAGGGAGTCATTTCATATTTCAGTTCATATTGACAAAACTAGTCTTAACATCGGATTTCAACTCTGCGGCAGAGGATATTCGATATAGACGAAATTTGTGTCCTTTGATCTTTGCTCTATTCTCGTTACACGATAATGAGCAAAGAGGGGCAGCTGAATACACTCAATTCCATCTTTTATTAATACTATTATATTATATAATCATATCGTATAATTATACATATATATATAATATTATTAATTTTATTCGGTATATTTGTGCAGGCCCGATATATCAAATAAAATAGCCTGTTGCACATGGCCCGACAAGACCCAAATCCCACGTGAGCATCAAGTTTCCAGAACCCTAGCTCCACGCCTCGTTCCAGCGTCGTTTTCCCCCATTTGAAGTTCCCACAACCGCACGTCTCGCCCAACAACCCGTATCATTCGGCGCAGAGATCTCGGTCATCACCAACATATCAACAAACCAACTAGCATTAGAATCCTAGTTCTAATAGGATACTAAAAATAGGTTTTTTCGTATTATAAATAACACATGTAATCATCCATTTGGGGGGGAGGGATTTTCATACTGAATACAAGCAAAATTACTATCAAATCACAACCAAACATTCAGAGTCATTTCGAAGGTTTCTTGCAAATATTTCGAAAAGAAAGGTAAAAAATTTCATACCTTTGCATGTGGTTTTTCTTTTCTTGTGTCTTTGTTGTACCTTGGGTCGAAAGAAACCCAAAGAGAGCGTTTTTAGCCGATGAACGGAGGGGTTGGGTCGGGATCTTCTTTTGTAGATCTAGCCCCCGAGGCTCATTTTTTATAGAAAATATTTTGATTTTTGAAAACTAGATTTAAAAAGCTTTGAAAAACAAAGAAAAAAATCGGGTTTTGCCGCCGATGAACGGCAGCGGCGAGGCGACGCGGTGGCCTTGTTCTGGGAACCACGGCCCTTGTTCTTCATACTGAAGAACAGTTGAGAGAAAAGAATAAGAGGAGGGCGTTCTGTTTGGCGAGAAGGAAAGAAATGAAATTTTAAAACCAGATTTTGGCACATATACGGCCCGTTAACCTGACCCGCCTAGCACAACCCGCGTGTTTTTGTTTCATAAGGGGTATACTGCACTTTTCGTCCCTCTAATTTTAAAACATCTATTTTAACCCTGAATCAACCTTTAAACTTCAATTCTCTTTTAATTTGGCCACTAAATTCGTCTTTCTTTTCAATCCGATCCCCACATTTGACTGTAAATCCCGAACTCCCTTTAAATTAGCCCACAAATTTCTTTCTTCTTACATTTTAGTCCTTGTTACATGTATTCAACTAGATCACTTATTATTTATTATTATTATTTTTTCTTTATCCTTTTCATTTTTTTAGTATTTATTATACTTTTTAGTATCTTATTATACTTTTTTTTATAAATCTACTGTTTATTTATTATTATTATTTATTAACGCGTATATATATATATATATTTTATTTAGTTTCCTCTTTATTATTATTGTCCACGTGCATATTTAGTTATATTTTTATATTTTAGTTTTTCTATTATATCATATACATATTTCTTTTTTCTTCCTTTCACTGTATTGCTACTCATTTTTGTTTATTGTTCATATGTGTTTTATTATTATTATTATTAATATATATTTTATTTTATTTTATTGCGTGATCTCTTATTTATTTATTTATTCTTTTTTTTTATCCTTCTTTACCTCATTTTCTTTTATCTTCACTTTTTCGTTTTTAACACTTTGCTTGATTCTTTAAGGATACGCTTTCAATCAATCAGTGGTAAGTTTTTTGGATCGTCATTTTACCTTTTGATTTAAGCTTACAATTTTCTTAATTAAAGACAACTGGAAATTACGTAGTACCGAAAGGGCAATTCAAGGGTGCTAACCCTTCCTTGACTGTAACCGACTCCCGAATCCGACACATCTCTGGCACGATGCAGATCAGATAAGAAATTAGGTATCCGATCAACTTATTTATTTTTAAATAAATGATCGGTGGCGACTCCAATCCATTTTCCTAAGTCGAAGCCCAATTCCGAGACCCAACGGAAAGACGGTTCCGACAGCTTCAACCAAAAATATTAGAAAAATGTAACAATTTAGGTTGCATCAAACCTAAAATGTTATGTTTTTTATCACATTTTCGATTATTTTTGTTGTCACCATTTTTTTAGCCTATATATTAAGTTACCATACTGCAGAACTATTGTTTGAGTAGCTTTTGTTCAATTATCTTAATTGAGAATATTTTTTAAACACGTCTTATTAGATGAAATTTAAAAAAAATATTATTTATTAAACAATTTTAATTTTTTTATCTAAACTATTTTCATTTTGAGTAATAATAAAATCTAATAAAAAATAATTCAAGAAATGGATAAGAAGGCAATATAATATTTTTTGGCTTAATACACTTTTAGATGCCTAAACTATACCTCAAATTTATTTTTAGTGTTTAAAGAATTTTTCGTTAAAAATAGGTGTTTAATGTTTTCAATGTTACATTTTTAGGTGTCTTGACCGTAACGCTTGTTAAATTTGACCATTATCTGCCATGTGTCATGCATATAAACTTTTTAAAAATAGATTTAATATTATAATTTAAAAAAATCCTAAATTCCATCGTCGATATACCACTGTCGATCTGTGACCGTAACCGTTGACACCATCAAAACAAAACTCAATCGATGGTTGACACCTAAAAGTGTAACGAAAGTAACATTAAATATTTATTTTTAATAAAAAATTCTTTAAACATAAAAAAATAATTTATAATATAATTTAAGCATAAAAAATATATACGAAGCCTTTTTCTTTTCAATCCTAACTCCTAACCAGCAATGCACCTCGTATATTCTTACGATTATATATAACTAATTATTTTTTGAAAAATTCAATAAAAATAATTAAAAATAAAATTGGTGAGTTTTGTTCACGCCAGGTGTGTGGAATTCTGGGAGTTGTTAATGGGGTTTGGCTTTGGGATCCCAAAAATCATTCATCACCCTTAGTTTCTCCGCAAACAATTCAATTTCATATATTATTTCTTTTTCGTTGAGAGGGATAAACAAAGCGAGCTTAAAACAATCTTGGCTTGAATTAGAATTGAGAGATATGGGCGTCAACATATGGGGATGCGATGATGGGAAGATGGGCGATCTTTCTTCAATGGAGATTTGGTGGTTGATTAACATAAGAGCTACACTAATTGCTCTTCTTTTTATATCCCTTTTCCATTTCTCCAAGAAGTTTTACGTTAGATTCCTTACACCATCGACATCTTCTTATTCTTCTTCTTCCTTGTTGTCATCTGTTTCTTCACCCATTTCTAATCGAGATTCTCGATCCAGGTAACTTTTTCAATGCTTTATTTAATCCGGGTTTCTTTTATTTTCCTGATATTTGTTTTCTTTCTCGCTCTATTTGATTCTCATTTTTTCTTCTAGGGCTTGCTTTCTTAATTTTGTTTCAGTTTCTTCATGTGTCGATTTCATTTTGTTTTGTTTTTGAATTGTCTGTTTTTTTAATTTATGTTCTGGATTTCCCATCATTTCCTTTTGCGTGTGTCAACATGTATATATATGTGCGCATGGACGAAGGTAAAAAATATAGAAAAAATTTTAAACTTTCAGAGGCGACTGCCCCTCGGTTCATCCCCGTGTGTGTTTCTATAATTGTGGGATTTCCATTTGGCTGTTCTATGTGAGTTCCTTTTAAAGTTTTCAGTTAGGCATCTTCTCAGTCAATTTTAATATTAGAAATGGAATAACGTCCTTTGTATCCTTTTAATTGTCAACATGGGAACAACATGCTCCTTTTTGAATATATATTCTGATTTTTAATTTTTACTATACTTTGCCTTTTATTTAATTATGACCTGCTGATGTTTTCCGTTAGTTTAGCACTATGAATATGTTGGGGCTTCAATGTTACTTTAATATGTTTCCAAATTGGCTTGTGTTTAAACGAATTGAAACCCATGTCTGATATCTGTAGAATCTCAGAGATTGTGAATGATTCGGATTTGAAGTTTTTAATTGATAATTTGGATGAGAAGGGAAACGATGATGACAAATGGGAGATTGTAATCGATAAGAAAAACAACTTTCTATCCTACAGGGCAAAGTGCTGCAAACCTAAGGTTCGGTTAGTACACTTTACTTTGCTTGCTTCATTTCTAATGACAATATACTGATGTGGAATAATTTCTGATCATTAAATTGTATACCCAAAATCAATGACTATGCAAGTCCGGTATACTTACGGATACAATCTCTTCATAATGCAGAACTACGGCTGTGTGTATTTTAACTTTCCCAGCCTTGTTATCTGGAAACTCTCTGGCTTTCATTAGTTTCTGATTTTATGTTTTGAGAGAATTATTTCTTTTGTACTTATTTTTCCCGACAATGTTCAAAGTTATTTTTATTTTCATTTACTAGGCAATGTCAAGTCCGTTTGAAATTTAAGTCTAATGTTTATGTACTGAACCTATTCCTTGATTTATTTTCCAGTTCTGTTTTACCATTTTGTTTAAATTTGACAGCATATTGTTTGGCATTTCAGCTTACATTAGGACTTTCTCTGATATAAATTAGTATAGCCAACTGAAAGTTGTTTCTTGTGGTGGTTCGCAGGATAGACCACTGAAATACCTGAGCACAACAGTATTTGAGAGTTGCACCCCAGATCTTCTGAGGGACTTCTATATGGATAATGATTATAGAAAGCAGTGGGATAAGACCGTGATCGATCATATGCAACTGCAGGTGGATACAACAACTGGAATTGAAATTGGCCGTACGGTAAAAAAGTTTCCGCTTTTGACACCTAGAGAGTATATATTGGCTTGGAGATTGTGGCAGGGAAAAGATAGATCATTCTATTGTTTCATCAAGGTCTGTCAATTCAACTTGGTCTTTAGTCTTATTGAATCCTTATTGGTATTGATTACTGCATTATCTTGTACATGTTGTTACAAATTGCATCTTTTGCTTCATCTATCTCCAGCTTATTCTTACCATCTGACTTTTTTGTCTGGTTCCAATGTTGGGAATCATTAGGAAGGTTCTTGACCTAGAAAGTTGGAATCTGTAACTTCTAAAGATTAACTCTCTTGCTCATACTTCGTATGCTGTATGAGACTGTTAGATCTAACAACGTTGGTCATACTTGTCAAGCTCATAAAGTTCCTAGTCATTTGATATCCATTTTGCGTCTATTAAGATTTGAGATCACTGCATTTCTAGTATTAGTTTGACGGTCGAAAATTTATTGTATCAAATGAATGGTTAGACGTTTTCAGTTGACTTGAAATTTGACGGGCATGATCAGAATGAATAAAGTATAAAATGTTGGGGTTGGATTAACAAAATGCATTTATTTATTTATGTATGTATCCTATCAATATGATTTTGGATGAATCCTTAAAGTTTAACATATGCATATTCCTGGTTCCATGTGCCAATATGCTGTGTAGGTAATGGTTCCTACACTTCTGGAAAGTTGAAATAGAAACTGTAAAGATGATATTAGGGATTAAGGAAACAAGTGGTTGTATCCCTAATATGAGAGATGTATAGGAGAAATTAGTAATAATGGAGTTCATCCTCATTGACTTCTTGCTAATGCTCCAATGTTCTGAGACCTTGACTCTTAACTTTCCTAAAGTACTCGTCTCAGAGATGGGCACAGATAGATTTTTTTTTAAAAAAAAGGTTGAGCATACCTGTGTCAAACGCATTGATATTGGATAGTGGATACTCACCCTGAGTCCTGGTTGACATCGCACCGTTGCTCATGAGTATAGGATTATTGATTGGATACATAGCACATGGAATATTGTTATCTCCTCGTGCAATCATTTATGGAGAAAAGCCTTTATGGAGTTCAAGAATGATAGTAGGGTCTGCTATGATTTAAAATCTGCTTCTCAAATTCCATGTAATCATTTCTTGAAGAGCCTCTATTGGGCTGAAGACTGATACTGGAAAACGGGAAGGATGTTTTGGTTTTCAAATGGGAACCTGGAGCATGACCCAACTACATACCCTCATTAAAAGAGGGATCTCTTCCATAGCTGACATTTTAAACCTAATTCCTGCAGATACCTGGGGTTTACCCTCTTAATCCCCAGAAAAAAAGGAATTTTCTCCTCAAATATTTGTTTATATTGTATCGGTCCTTTTTATATGATCTCTCTTCCTGGTTGATATTCTGTTGTAATTGTTATTATGATTTAATAGGAATGTGAACATCTGTCAGCGCCACGACAGAAGAAGTATGTTCGTGTGGAATATTTTAGATCCGGTTGGCAGATCAGAAAAGGCAAGTTTCTTGTATATTAATTTTCAATTGCGGGTGTGAAGTTGTTTAGAAAGTTGTTTCAATCATAACTGAATTCAGAACTTGAACAATATGCTCTTGTGAACTGCCAGGCCCCATCACTCTCTACTTAAAAAGAAAATAAAAGGGGGGGGATGATGGTTCTGTTCCTATTCGTGGACTCTTCTTTGAGTCATGAATGACAATGCATTGCTTAAGTCCTGCCTAATTTGTTCTACTAGTGCTCAAGGCTTTGAAAATATTTTTCTTTCTTGGGAGGATGAAAAGGGATGGATCTTTTACCTGAGTTTTTTTTGTTTTTCATTCTTGTTGACTTTTACGACCGAATGTTTTAATTTTATTGTCATGTACAGTACCTGGTAGAGATGCCTCCGAGATCAGAATGTTTCACCAAGAAGATGCTGGTCTCAACGTTGAAATGGCAAAACTAGCATTTGCAAAGGGCATATGGAATTATTTGTGTAAGATGGATAATGCACTACGCAATTATCCTGTGACAAATCATCCTCCGACTGGTTCATCTGTTTCTGCAGTCACTCTGATGCGTAAGGTCCGTGTTTTCATATTGAACAAAAGAGTCCTTAACTTATTATTTCTTACTTAGTACTTCACTTTCATTAGAAAAACAATTACGATAGATTTATATTCGTTAAACTTTAAAAGTATGAAACCAATTTATTGCCCTCTACAAGAATATTCCCCTTTTTGCTTGGCTTCCTCCAAGTTAGTTGAAGATTAATATTTTTGGAAAACAAATGAGATAGACTATCTGAACTCTAAAGAAGAGGTAAAGGTATAGCAGCACAGTCTGAGACTCCGACTACCGTACATCATGGCAACCTATGAAGTGCTCTAGGTCTCTTATCAATTGTTCTGTTTTTTTTTGTACAATTGTGAACCATTCTTAGCTTTTAGGAGTTTTTCGATACAAATTAATATATCTGGATCATTTTGATTTTGGTCACCTCAGAGTACCTTCGTATTTTTTTAGCAATGCAGTCTCTGTTACTCTACACATGCAGACCGGTCATCTAAACCAAGGCTATATCTGCTTTATTCCCAAGTTGCTTAGACTCTTCATTTTCCTTGAAGAACCCATGTGTGACATATATCCGGACATGGGTATGGGAATATGATCCTCTATGGACCTTTTGTCTCAGAAACATTTCAATGTACTCTATGCTCAGCACTCAACCTGAGTTCGAGTAAAGAATGTTTATTCCTTTTGTTGTTAAAATAATTTATTTAAATGAATTCCAGTTACTGAACCATATGTTTGAACTTGTCATCTTTTATTAAAAATCAAATGATCAGCTCAAGAACTTGTGGCTGACATTGTTGTCAACATACAGGTTCCACCTGAATTGGATGCTAGAACAGGCACTACTTTTTCATCCGTCTCTGGATCAGTAGCAAGTGACGATGAATCCAAGAAGAAGTTATTAAGAAGACCATCAAAAAAGTTAGTGGCAAAAAGTTTGCTTCTTCTTGGGGGTGTGATCTATCTGTGTCGCGCGCACTCCGCCTTGGGTGGAAAAGTTACAGTGTCATACATCTTAACAAAATTGAGAAAACGCAGTGATTCATCGAGCCAAAGCAGCCCAAGTTGAGGTACCTGGTTCTGGCTTTGTTCCATCCTCGCAACTAGTTTTGATTTGATGGTTTTAATAAGACTAGCAATGTAGACATATCTAAGTTAGGGCTGAACGTCAACTAGGGAGACAGAAAAAGCCTGACAAAGGGAGATTTTGGTCTGTAATTATTTGTTTTGGTAAATATAGGATCACCGGATTCAGACACATATAACAGGGGGTATATCTAGTTTGTGTTCATGTACTTGGAGGGTTATATCTATGTCCAGTAATGTGTTGGATTGGTGTGAAATACGGATACTTGATATATCATGTAAATTATTTGATTCACAGCAAGCAAATAACTTAAAGCATACTCCATTTGTTGGCAATAATCCTATCAGTTCCCAATTAAATGGAATTTTTCGTCGGAGTGTAGTGGAAAGGTTTAATGAAAATCGTTTTTTAGTTGTCTCGGGTGATTATAAGGTAAGATATGTTCAGAATTTTCCTTAACTATTGACAAGTAAATACACTCTGTAGCCATAGCTACTCAATCTCAAAACCTTTAGGGATAACAACACCCCCTTCAAACACTGAGGTCGCTTGATGGGTTCCAGATCGGTTAATTTTTCTTTATTTAATTCTTGAGCTTTATTTTTCTTTTATTATGCCTTGGTTAATTTTGTATTAACTATGAGTTGCGACAAATTCAACAATGTTCTATTGCTTTAGATCAAACAACCCAACCTCTGCAAATCCATTTAAGCGTCGTAAAGGCATGAAATATTTATGTCATAGCAAGGCAGTTAGTAGAAGTGGCAAAGGAAATGTTATTTTTTTATAAGTTATAAATTCGAGCAGTTGCATATATATATAATGTATACATTTTTAATTGGTTAAAAAATTATAAATATATACTATCTAGTAATTATTCTAAAACTATTAAGAAACATGTATGGTAAAATTTTAATTTTTTCTTTCATGAATCTTTATATTACAATAAATCAAACTTAATTTAGTGTTAGAAATCACTGGATAGTTGAAGTTAGTGAAACCTCTGGGAATGCTTAGAGTGAGAATTGTCGATAAAACATAAAATAATCCAAAAAAATATCATTTTGAGATATTTCTCTGTTTGCTTCGACCATTAAAACTTAATCACTTTAGAAGAGAAATATCTCAAATCAATGGAATAATTTGTGTTTTAGGCCTACCATTTGGGCCTTAATTGCTTTAAACTTTCCTTCCTTGTATGTATATTGGATCAAGTTTAAACTCAAATCATTTTAATTCATAATTAAATAAACTAGTTATGATATAAACAAAATTTTATAACTAAATATTTGTTCATGGTTCAATTCTGATTTCGTTAAAATTATAATATTTTATCGTATTATTTTTTATATAACTAAATAATTTTGTTAAAACTCCTTAGTTTTATACATATTTAAGACAGTTGGATGAGTGAGATTGACTATTTATTTTTTTTAGTAAATATCTTCACATTTCTTACTTTTAATCTCAATAATATATTTTCATTCATCTAACAGTCCTAAATTTATGTAAAACTAAAAGAGTTTTACATAGTGAAATAAGATCATATCATTATATATATAATATTTTTCGACTTCATAATCTAGATAATGATGATTTATTACACTTTGAATATAATTATTTAATTTATTCATCGAATTAAATCATAATTGAAATTAGATAAATTAATTTGTAAATCATTTCTTCTTTTTATTAAGAAAATATACTTAAATAAATATTTTTTGACAATCTATTTATCACATTTAATTTATTCATCAATTCATAATTTTACATATTCTTTTGAGTTATAATAAACTAATAAAAAGATCATTTGAACATATATAATACAATTAAAATAACATATAATTAAATTTTAATTCCTTTTATATTGATTAATGGATCATTTATATTACATAATCATTCTACTACTGTAGACACTCATTTTTGTCCGAATTTGGGCTTTTTATTTATTTATTTTTATTATAGTAATATAGTATAATTTTTGAAAGTGTTTTTGAAAAATATAATATATAGTTTTCAAAAAATATTTTTTGAAATATATATTATATAGTTTTTTTAAAACGTTTTTGAAAACTTATGTACAATATATAAGTTTTAAAACATTTTGAAAATTATATAGTATATAGTTTTGAAATCATTTTGAAAATATAATATATAGTTTTTAAAAAACATTTTTTGAAAATTTATATAACATATAGTTTTAAAAAAACATTTTGGAAAACTTATATAATATTTTTAAAATCATTTTTGAAAACTATATAATATATAGTTTTGAAAACGTTTTTAAATATAATATATAGTTTAATTTTTTTTTGAAACATATATATTATATAATCTATATTATTATTAATATTTATTTTATTTTATTTTATTTCATTTCATTTTATTAATCTAATTTAATTTAATTTCATTTATTTTTGTCATGGTCCAAACGGGGTCTAAATCCAATCCATATTTCAGTCCAGATTGGGCCTGAACCAGCCCAGCAGTGGTTAGGGTTGTAACCATCTAGGGTTTCATTCAACCCTCAACAGCGTCGCAAAATCAGGAGATCAAGGGTCACGCGAAATGGCTGGACGTCGGCTGAGGATCCCGGGACTGAACCATCCTGGGATTTCAGCAGTAACGTTCACGACCCCGTTATCGTCGGAGCATACCACCGGTGGGGTGGGTATAAATACCCAACCACGGTACCCAACCACGGTGACACCAAAGGGGGGGACGTCCAATATCAACAAAACCCATCAACCACGGTACCAACAATGTACACCATCGAACATCACAAAAACCATCGAAGAGCCACAAAACAAAAAACCTCACGAGAACCATCTCTCGAACCAAAAACCCACTGCCAACAGACAACACCGAATAGGAAACCGAGAACAAAACAGTGACTACAACGAACAGTAGCCACGGGAAACAACACCAAACATCAACCATCGGCCAGCAAACCCAACACAGAGTACACAACAGAGAACCAAATATCATCTGAGCAACAAACCACAACCAAATAACACGAGAGCCGAAGCAAAACCAAACTAGAAAATCAAAAGAAAAACAACCAGAAGTGAGCAAACACACACATGCAAAAAAGAGTAAGAGCAGTAAACAACCAAGGCCACGGAGCAGGATGAGCAACCGAGAACTCGAAGTCACAAAAAAAAAAAGAAAAAAAGGAAAAAACCGAAGGTTGTTTCTTAGATCTACGCCGGTGAGGACGTTGTTTGGGTATTTGGAGGTCGATTTTGGGTTTGCGAGATCGAGGGGGTCATTTTGGGTTAGTTCAGTTTTGCTCGGCCGCCGCGAATGGCGGCCGAAACGGCGGTCGGAGTAGCAAGGGGCCACCGGAGTGGAAGCCGGTGATCGCCCGGGCATTGAGAGAGTTTTGGTGAGGAAAAAGAGAACTTTGGCCAAAAATGAGAGAAATGAGGGGGATTTTGGGCTATTGGTATATATATATATATAGCAGAGACCGTTGTGCAAATAAGGGATTCTTAAACTCTTTCCGCCGTCCCCCATGCTCTGAAGTGTAATTCGTTTCAGTCACCATATGCAATTTGACCACTGGATTTTCAATTGATTCAATTTGGTCCCCGTTTATATTTTACATTTTTTACAATTTGATCCCCAAATTCTTATTTTATTTTATTTCATTTATTATCATGTTTTTTAATTATTATTAGCATTATTTACTTTTACTTCTATTTTATTACTTTCAAAATATTTTTTTTTATTTATTTAAGTTTTTCATTTGTTTTTTTATCTCTTTTTATTTTCATTTTATTTCTTTGATTTATTTTTATTTATTTACTGATGTTTTAGTCTTTTTTTCCCTTGATTCATTTTTTTTACTATTACATATCTTTTTTTATTTTATGTTTTTGCCTTTTAGTTTTATTTATTTATTTTTCTATCTAATATTCTTTTTTTCCTTTGTCAGTAATAATCTCAACCAATCAGAGATAAGTAATTCGAATCGAGTTTTTAAATTTATTTTTTAATTTTCGCAATTAAAGACAACCGAAAAATTAATTGGTACCGAAAGGGCGGTTCAAGGGTACTAATCCTTCTTTGACCGTAACCGACTCCCGAACCCGACACGTTTATGGTACAACACAGATCATGTAAGATGGTGTCCGACCCACCTAAATTTGTTTTAAAGTGGTCGGTGACGACTCTAATCATTTAATCCAAGTCGAAGCCCAATTTCGAGGTCCAACCGAAAGACGGTTCCGACAGCTTGGCAACTCTGCTGGGCAGGTAAGTGAGTCAGGCCGAAATTAATTTTCGGTTGTCTTTTTATGCGAAAATGGTAAATTTTAATTTTAATTTATTTATTTATTCGATTCCAATTATTTATCTTTGATTATTTTTCAAATAAATAGTTGTACTAACGTTTTTTAATGATTTCAGATTTTTTCAAAATTGTCATCTCTAGCTCTATACCCGAGCTCCGAACCCTTTTAAGTGGGGGTGAAAGCGACGCCTTCGTGTGAATTTATTCACCGCACAGGCCTAGCAAGTAGCCATCGAGATTCATATACCTTATGTCTTCATGTGAATTTATTCACTGCACAAACATAAGGGAATGTGTCCTCTCGAGTTTAACTTAGTCCACACAAGCTTGTAATAGGCTTAAGACTAAGGGTTTGGCAAGCCCAAGGGGGCACCGGCAAGGAAAACTCGAGTACCTTTTTAGAACCTAAACCGGGAGAGTACAAAGAAGTAGAGCCACCCCAAAACCTCATTTCAAACCCTAGGCTGCTTTGATTTTATTTCCTGTTTTACTTTCTGTTCAGAGTATGCGAACTAGACAAATATGCGGTTTAGGATTTTTTTTAAATTAGCATGCGGGATAGAGATCATGTCCATGTATGAATTAAAGCATGTAGGGTAGATGTCATATGGGGTAGGATCTTTCATTTTTATTATTATTTTTTTATTTACCTCACTAACTCTTATTTATTTATTTATTTATTTATTTTTCTCTTTCATTTTGTTTTCATCACTTGCATCATTTAAAAGAGGTGTTGATCCACCAGAAACGTATTTGTTAAACATGAATAATCTGCATTAATGGACAAAGGGCTCCAATGACATATTTGTTGGGAATAGGCTCAACAAAAGATAAATGACGGAGGTGCATGCCTTCGAGACTTTTTTTGGGGGCAAACAACTCGTCATTTGCACAGTTCATCCAGAGAAGCCAGAGTGCTTCGACAGGTTATTTAACCGGTGACGGATGAAGGCGGAAGACTAGTCAACATATCAGAAGCTGTCTAGATATTTTTGTC